TATTATAACATATATTCGTATATTAATCTTAGATAGAAAATATGGACCAGTGACTAGTTAAAAATCTTTGATGTGGTTACTGTTTTCTTTATATAAATGGGCTATATCTCTAGTGTAAGGACACGTTGAATTCCAGCTTTTACAACAGTAACATTACCTTGATCTTTGTATATGTTTTTCACTCCACTCAAGTAAAGCGTCAACATTGTTCAAGATCTTCTCAACCGTTAAAATCTATCTCTGAATTTCACAAAGTCGTCTCAAACATCTGATGTTTTATTCTCTCCCGATCTTTGTTATCAAATCTTTCATCTTTGACTTGCGTTCGCTTAATGAATATTTTGAAGTGTTAACATTGTTTCAAGATTGCAAAAATATTATCTGTTTATAATTGAAGATTCTTTGAATGAGTTTCTCAATAGAAAACTTAAACAATACAACAATTTCTAACTTTTGTTTACTACTTGTATTTTATAAATTGTGGTATATTTATAGGATTTTTCATTATAAAACTAAAATTTCTAACTTTTGATTACTATTTATATTTTACAATTGATATCAAGTGGATATCGTATACAATTCAATTTTGTAGACATCATATCAATTTTGTGAATATAAAACTACAAAAAGAACATTGATTTGTTGGTCTACAATCCCTTTCATTATTCTATTTTATTTGCTCTTATTTATATATTATCTTAGTTTATTTTTTATGAGTATTTGTTTATCTCTTTTTATAATATCTAAATTATAAAACTAAAATTTATAACGTTTGATTAATATTTATATTTCACAATTTATATGTCACAATTTCATAATTGATATCGTGTGATATTGTTTACAATTCAATTTTGTGGATACTATAGCAATTTTGACGGTATAAAGGTATAAAAAACTAAACTCGTTAATTTATAATTTCTTTCATTACTCTATTTCATTTGATCTTATTTCTTATTTTGTAAATAGTTTAGGTCATTTCTTATAATCATTTGTTTGTTAACTCATATTTTGACTCTGATAAAGATAAGATAACCAACAATTGCTTTTAATTTTTTTTAACAAGGACAAATTGCGAAGTTGAAATTGAGGGAAACGAAAAAGTGAAAAAAACTCCGCAATCGTTGAAATTTCGAGTAGTAAAGAACAGATTTTTTTTTTGCGAGTAAATGTCTTCGAGATTAATCTAATTTAGTTGTAAAAATTACTGCTGCTGATTCGGGGGTTGTCCACGGCCACGCATGGTTCGGCCGCCACGAACGCTAACTCGTCCACGCACTCTTCCTCGAGCCCTGACTGCCAAAGGAGCTCGAGCCCCAGCCCCTGCCCCAGTCCCGGCTCCAGCTTGTGCTTGTCGAATGGCAGACCGCTCCCTAGCTCTTTCAGATAGATTCACAATCGTTGACGAACTGCCCAATGGTGAGGTCGCTCTCTTTGCTTCTTCGGGCTCTGCAGTTTCACCAGAAGGAGCCACAATGGCGGCAGGCGGGGGGGG